TCCCTACAATTTTTCAAGCTCAAGAATTTTATAATCATGGGTTTTAGATGAATAAATATACAATTCTCTGTCAGTAACTGTGCCTTTCCTCCCGTTCTATCCCAAATGTTTCAACTTTTTTTCTCCTGCACAAGGAGGAACGTAACAGTGGGTTTAAGGAGGGCCCCTAAAACTAAGCGCTTTAAACGCAAATACGCATACCTATGTGCGTAATGTCCATGCAAAGACAAAGCCTCTAGAAGGACGCTATCTGCTTTTTACAGTACTGTCACAGTACTGAACTCCCAGGGCATTTAAAAAAAACAAAAATCCCTGTGTGCATACAGTTTATCACACAAAGCTCTCATCAACTCACTCAGAGATTCAGTTGACACCAGCTAAAACAAAACAGACATACAAGGTCAAAGTTGCATCCTCTTTGGCTATGTGACCAAGTCTGATTTAGTTTAAGAACAATTACACTTACGCTTCCTGTGATTAAAACAGTGATCATAATACTACGTTATTATAAAAAGAACAATGATATGAAACTCAAGCTCTCATAACCAAATTAGTTGCCCAAGAAATCTTACTTTGTCTTCCTTCTGTATTGTGCTAAGCCTTTAATTATGTAATCAAACTGTTCTGTCTCTGTATACTTGCATAATTAACTGCACAGAGTGAATCTGTCTTCATGACTCAGCATTGCGCATAGATCACAACTACAACTATGTTGCTTGCCTTATGGATTTTACTACAAAGCCTTCAGTCTCATATACCATCTCTTCACAAATATTAACTCTATTCTCTAGCGTGTTCTTAGGTAATATCTATTTCTGGGTTTTACATAAACTGAAGAGCAGATTAAGAAAAAGTTATCTTGATGAAGGGCAAATTTTTAAAGACTTCCTTTTCAGAATATTTATCATCCATAAGTTCAGCTATTATTTTGCAGGAGGTCTCTAGTACTTCACTACATGAACATACCTAATACAGTTTACAAAAAAGTTAGAGCAAACTCTCATTCTTACTTGCCCTTGTGCAAAAAAGACTTAGTACTCTGCCAGTATCGGGTATGTCTCAGATCCAGCTGTTTCTCCTCTGTATTATCCAATTGCTAAATACTGGTGTCCAGCTGAGCTACAGTATCTGACTAAACAAGTAGTCAAGCTCAGTCGTTGCTAATACATCAAATAAATGAAAGTTTGGCATATCAGCAAGAATGTGATTGAATAAATGCTCACATAACTTCACAGGCATATCTGAGATTTTTTCCGGGGCTTATAAATTGGCTGAGTTATCACAAGAACATCAAAAGACACAGTCAAACAGCCAACAAATGCCAAGTTTCAAGTCACTGCTTTAATGCTAAGGAACAACATTTTTTTTCCAAACACGTGGAGTCGTATGATTTTTTTCCCATAGCTGTTCTTAGCATAAAAGTATAGTTTTGAGGGTTTTTAACCTCATCTGTGGGAAATACTCCCTTTGAACAGTTTGAATTGGCAACACTATAAGCATGAAAACAGTACCCTGTAATGCAAAATGACAAGTGTCACTACCTGCAGCACTGTAATTCATGGGAGGCTTAACATAAAAAATGCATACAAAGCTTTTAATTATTTACACATGAACTGAGACACTTCCACCCTCCCAGAGGGGAAGTGCTCAGTTTTGCAGTTGCTTGTATTATGATCACTTCTTTAAATTGTTGTCATTGCTGATAACTTTCCATACTATTCACACACATTTTTTTCTAAAACATAAGGAACATTTGCGGAGTGTTTCTTCTTATGGAAATTTTGGCTATTTTTCTTTCCTTCAGTCATTGGCCATTAACTTTTTCTCGGTGTTGGGCTTGGACTTTTCCACATGACTGTTCAATGCAATGAACATTGATTTAAGTTAAAAAGAGGTTATATTTCTGATCTGAACTTCCTATTTTAACAAGCGGTTGTCAAAAGCAGAGAAGCCTGTGTTCATTTAACTCGTTAACACTATGAGAAGGCCTTATCAGTAGCATCAAAAAAGCCAACTTTCTTCTTCAACCCTAACGTCACGCAACAGTCCTGCTGGATAAAAGAAAATAGAGCACATCACATTCCGTGAGCACAGATAGTACTGCTCACCTACAAGACATTTTCCATCAATGAGAGACCTGTTTTTGTTACTAAAGAGTAACAAAAGAGGGACCAAATTCAGCTCAACTGGACTAAAATGTAGCAGCAGGCATACACAAAGGTAAGCAACAAGGTATTCAGTGAATTCCCCTCTTCCTCTATAGATACTCTTTTTGAGTCTAGCTCAGCAGCAATGCAAAAACCAGAAGAGTTACTCCATCAGAAGGAAAGGTTTTAAGAGTTTATAGATGGAAAACTACTGTCTATAAACAGATGATCTGATTCTCAAGCAACACTCCAAGAACAGGCAAAAAGCCTGCAGTGGCCTGCAGCCTGTCACCCTATACAAATCATGCCTGATAAAGGTAGATTAAACAAATACCTTCCTTCCAAAGTCACACCGAGTTAAAATCTCCCTGCTCTCACTATGGTTCAGACAAAGACTGAATGAGCTAAAACAGCTGGTCAGAATACAATATCAATTTTCACCATGTTTTTAGGCACACTATTATATTTTTTAAAAAAATGCAGTTTGAAGCACAACACAAAAGAGAAAAGTATTCTTACCGTACAACATCGAAACTTTGAACTGAATCATTCCAGAAATACTTCACGCTGTGATGTGTGAAATAACGAATCTGCAAGGGCAACACACATAGATATTAAACCAGCATCACTAAATACCTTTCTTCTGACTGACTTTATTATGAACAGTGATAGACAGTGAACTTAGAACATCACTGAAAAATGAAGTTTTCTTCCAAAAATAATCTTTCAAGCATTCCACAATTTCCAGTAACAGGTTATTGAGGAAAAGACTTGTGTTCCACCCAAAGAATTGAGTTAGCCTTTTAAAAGTAGCAGCTCACATCTACTGTATTGTGTGTTTACTCCAGATACTACCTGAGATATTTTGAAAATTAGCAAGTGTAGTATTGCAGGTTTACTTACAGGCAAATATTTTTTCAAATCATTTTTATTTTCTTCTGCAGCAGATTCACAGAAATGAACAGCATGGCCATTTGAAACCTTGTGTACAATAGGGTTAGGATTCTGTAAAGGATTGGCTCCCAAAGAAGGCATAATGCGAACCTTTGCACAAAACCATATCTTGAATTCATCCTTAAAAAGAGGGAAAAAAATGAATTGGTTGAAACAGCATTTAAACACCATTTTATTACAACAGTTGTAGCAAAATGTGTCAACAGCAGATGACATTAGCGGAGCCCATACATAATTACAGAAGATATCCTCATTAGTATCAGCTACCTTAAGATTACATTTTCTTTCCACAGTTCTAAAAACTTATTTTTTGCACTGAAAGATTTATTTTTAAGAAGTCTAGGTACTTTTAGTTTTAACATCTTCAGCCCTTCACAATTATGCAGATAATGGAGTTGTTTTGTAGTGGGAGGAACTATGGGATTCCTATGCATTCAGCTGCCCCCACCCTGCAACTTCCAACAACTGAGGACTTCACACAAGATCATAACCAAGGACTGTACACAGCAACTGTGCAGGAAGAAAATCACTTGAAATCAAACACCATCTGGATTCAAATGTATGCTTGCTGAACAAAGGAGGAAAAACCTGAAAACGATGTTATCAGGTTATATGAACAAGGTATCTGTTCTGTAACTTTTGATGACAATTCATGTATTTAGTTCTTAAAATCCAAAAGCAAAGACTTTAGTTTTGCTGTGCCCTCTGCAAACAGCTACCAGTCTTCCCATACGGGCAGCAAAGCCACGGACAGTACCAAGCAGCACAGTTCCGTGGTGCTGTAAAACACGATCACGTCTACATTGCAGGCAAGGATCTGTGCAGTTTAGCATGCAGCAAGAGGGATGCGAAAGAACCGCAAGCCGAGAGAAGCGCACCGTCCTGCAGACTTACAGTTGTTCTCAGCAGAACCACTTCACAGTCTTTAAGCGTAGTCCTTTTGCATGTTGCTTTCACACGCCACTGAGGCATCCAGTAGAGGAGAAGGAGAAGAAAGCCACCAGAACAGATCACTCCCACAGTAACTAGCACCAACTTCCAGCGACACAGATCATAGCCATAGATCTCCTGCACGGAAACAGAGAAATAAATAACAAATGACGACCCTCTTAATTACTCTGGCTCAGAAAGCCAACATTAATTGTTCATTAAGTGTGGTATTTAAAGCAAACCAAATTTCAAAGCCATTTTCTCCTTTCTCTTTTCTGGGCGAAGGAAAGATTTTAAAAACTTAATACATGATGGAGTGGCAACAAAAAGGAACACTGTTTTGCTTGGTCAGGAATACAAACATCAGTAAAAGCCTGACAAAGGCAGAACATCCACACTGTTTAAAACATTTCATTGCAGGACCTGCCTCCTCTCTGTACTGCTCCCTGAGGACTGAGGTTGCAACACCACCTGCGTTAACTCTCAGTGAACAACCGAATTTTTGACCATGACACAGCACAAGTGGGCAAAGCATTTAAGAGCAAAAGCATTATGTGGTTTTGTCAAATGCTGATTTTACCACATTAGCATCTGATTAGCCAGCATGCATAGTTTTGAATTACTAGTGCTAGCTGAATTTCATACTTTCTAAACAAGACTGTAAATATATTTATCAAACACTACTTTTTTTTTAGTAGAGAAACTGGCTCATTCTGCCTACCATTTAACAAGAAAGGCTACTGTGAAACATTAGAAACTGCAAGCCACACTGTCAAGGTTCTGTAACTTGCACCCACTGGAAAAAACCTCTTCTCTCATCAAAAAAAACCCCACAAACTTGGTCAAAGGCAAGTACCAACTTAACTTGACGACAGCCAGGAACTGAAAATAATTCCATGACTTACTAGATGCTGTGTTACATTCCTGAGTTTCACATTACATCATTAGATTATATTTCCTGCTGTAAAATAGCAATGAAGTTTCCCATCGAGTACCACCCACATTGTTCATATTGACACCAACTTTTTGCACATTTTTTTGTACTTTTCACTAAACAGTATTAAAAATTGTTTAAATTCCTTTCCTAAGAAAAGGCTTTTCAGCAAGTTTGTTTTGAAGCATTCTCAGCTGACAAAAAGCAGAGACAAAACCCATTCTCTGTTACCCCCAAAACACTGGGGCCAGTATTCACTCCTTACCAAAAAAAACAGGTGAGTGAAAGATAGCAGGAGAGGTCAATGCTTCTTTGGGGCAAAACAAAATTATTTCCCCTGAAAAGCATTTATTTTAATGATCAGACCACAAGCACCTCAGTTTCATTTTTTATTGTAAGGTGTATTTGCCTACTCTCCACATTAGAACTGGTCTAGTGAAGAGCAGATTTCCCAAGCAGCATGCACAAAGAAGAAGGACTTCAATTCAGGAATCTACCTTTTTTAAAAACAAAAATCCCTATATATCCCAAATAGTTTCTGCTGTCTCTAGAACAGGCTAGAAATTTAGAGATCAGCTGCCACTATTTTTCTGTCAAAGCTAACTGCTGCATCTTCCAGGATAAATGATAAGAGAGATCATTGCTCCAGCAGGAAGCAAAGCTTATGTGCTACCAAACAACCATAAAACTGCTTTTCATGCTTTAGGGAGTGGGTCTTATCTGCATAAATATGAATATGCAAGAATATGTAGAGTACAGTCAGATTACAGAGCATTAACCTGTTTTAAATGACAAGAAAAAAGCTGCAGGATTTGAAGGGGTAAAAAAAAAAGAAAAAAAGACCCACATGACCCACTTTGTTTCCATTTTCCTTTAAAAAAAGGTTGTTAAGTACCTAAATCTTATCTATTGGACTACTGACCTCAATGTAGTCAACCCAGCACCTTTACAAAGGCTTTCAACAAAAACTGCTAAACTGATTTAAACTGAGACAGTCCACTTCCTGATGTAATATTCCCCATTTACAGAGAAACCCATGAAAATATGTTTCTTTCACTACATAAAAATAGATTAATAGAATTCATTACCATTTCATCTTCCTCTGCTTTATTGACAAATTTCTTTTCTTCTTTCTCCATGTTTAGTATGATATGGAACTTCTCAACTTGAGATATGGAAGACCTTTAACAACAAAAGAATTAAAAATTGAAGTGACATTACCAATTTTATACCTAAGTATTAGGTTGTTTTGAGTTATTTTCTGTAAGTGCTTACACATAGAACACACTGACAACATATTAATATAGATCTTAAATTTGCACTGTTACTAATTTACAGTAGTAATGACCCAAGGAGCTCTAGTAAAGCTTCAAGATCGAACACTGGATGAATACAAGTGAAACACTGCAGAAACAGTAGGCTTTGAAGGAGAGAAAAGAGCTTGTACCAATTTAACTTGGTTACACACATGCAGCAAGCAGTTTTTGGTACATTCTACAAACTAAATAATGGAAACGCAAATTAGATCTGTAAAAAAAGCTTAAAAGTAGGTCAAGATTACACAGTTCTATCATTCTATATGTAATAGCTCCAATCAGATGCTTTCAGAAGCCAAGCTTATCCTTCAAGAGGAAAGGCACTGTACCCCTGAGATGTGCATTTCTCATCTGAGCAAAAAATAAGTGCATGATAAAAAAGTTTAGCCCCCAGTTTGATATTTCTAAATGAAGACACATTTAATGGTCAGTCAGTCTTCTCCCTTCTTTCCAATTCTTCTACCATTCCACTTGTATCAATGGGCTCATTTCTTATTCTAAATCTCTCATAGTTGCAAATCTTGAGCAGTGCTTCGAGGATAGATTACAATCACAAGTTACATGAATAGGGAAAGGCATGAAAAAATACGAAGCTGCTTGAGATGAACACAATGCACACAGATCGCTGTTCCAACAGAGAACTACAAAGAAAAGGTTACAACATGCTGAGGCTTATCAGAAGTTTCAACATCACACTAAGAAAATCAAAGATACCAAGTCAAAAAACTATTTTTTTTAAATTAAAACTGCACCTAACCCACATTTGGGCACCCCTGTACATGCTAATTGTATACAATTTGTAACTAATCCACCCATGTCGCATTTCCACAGGACCACCTACCATAGTTAAAAACCAGAGTAGCCGGTGCTCACCCTCCAAGAAACGCATCATTCTCTCTGCACTGACATTGTACAGCCTTTGATTTTATTTACTGCACATACATAAATCTCTCAGAAGACAGAATTTAGTACCACAGCATATATGCAGTCCTCAAGTATTAAGGATTCAGTCATAGCATAAGTAGTTATTGTAATTTTTCAGACAGAAGGATGTTACCAAAAAAAAAAAATCAAGGTGAAAGCCATCCACTTAACTTCATCTCAGCTGTCCACTGAGGACTAGGATGCCACTATTTAAAATACTTAGTATTAGGCAGCATTATGATAAAAGCACAACCATTACCAAGTTCTTGGCTGGCATTAACTCCCCAACATTTTCGTAAATCAAATCACCAGACTCCAAGTGGGATCCTCTCAAAGCCGGCCCCTGGATCCATGCACTTACAGCAGCAATGCCAACTTCAAAAGGTCCTTCCTCCCTACTCCTGCAGTTTATCAACATCATCACAGCCTCATGTGTTTTCTGCAAGCTACCACCTCCTTTCCAATTAAGCCAACAAAGCAGGAACCCAACAGAAAAGGTTTCTTTTGCTGCTCATATCTGGGTCTCCTCAGAAATCTGCTCCCACTGCCAAACAAGGTCCAGGTGGAAGAAACACACACTCGAAGCAATGAACTGCATCACAGCACAAGGCGCAGTCACAGGTGAAAGAACTCAGCACCTCATAAACTGAATGCTTGATACAGTTGGTATTTTGTCCTGTATGGAAGGAATACGATTTGCTAACAACTGTCTCCTAATAGAAACACCAGTTCACACACTCCTTACTTTAAGCTGAAAATTTTCTATTACTATCCAATACTGAATTATCCCTTTCTTACTGCAGATTAATTTGGAAATTAAGTCAAAAGATGTGTACCACTGATACTTCCTTATCTGTTACACAATTCATGCAAGTTCCAAAACACATTTTTGTTCAAACCGCCACTTTTCTTCACTAAAGAGCTTTTTATCCTGGGAAATCAATTAAAATCTGTCCTAAACCTACCCAGGATTGCTAAGAAAGCTCCTGAGAACAATCTTTGGATTATTAACTTCAAACAAATTTATGTACACCATACAAATCACATTTTCAATCACAAAGTCATGCAGCCAGAAAAAGTTTTACAGAATTATACTTCTAATAGAGTTCACAGGCCCATGACAGAATTACCAGATCTGTCATACTTGAACTAGTTTGCTCTTAAATAAACATGCATTTCCCCACTGTAGTGTACTGCAACATCAAAAACAGTGCCTTCAGGCAAAACTGCAGCCTTGATGAACGTACCTAGCAACAACTGTACTTGATACAGAAAAGCTCCAGGTGGCAAAATAAATGCAAACAGCTTCAAGATCAATAAATCTCGACTTAGATTTCCATACAGCCAACACGTCAGAACAGGCACCTTATGGGACACCACGGCAGTATGAGAGAGAAGTGCAATTGCTTTAATTTAGGGCTGTTCCACAGCTAGAAAGGAGTGTCAAGTTGTCAGTCTGAAGAAGCATGAAAGGAAAACTCAGCACTGAGAGCACCAGCAGTAATTCCTGTGATTCAACGAGTTCTTTGAACAGCTGGGTAGAATCACAAGGGGAATACACAAGGAGCATTAGGAGGCTATTTTTAACTCACATCATTAGCTCCATCTGCATTATTTTATACAGACTCATTTACTGAGCAACCTTTAACTAACACACACACTCCCAATATTTCACACACTGCCTGTAATTTTCCACATTAAACTTAAATTCAAATCTCTAAACTTAGAAAACATTAGAAATCTTTTCTTAGTTGATGGGTCATGAAAATCATCACTATTCATCAATGGAGAACGGCACTCTATCTCCAATCTTACCCCTTTTGGCACATCATCAGCCCAAGCTCACCAACAAGAGTTCAAACGCATAACTGCTTTGGGTTTGTTTCTCACTGCCCTGCTAAAAGCTGGAGTTGAACGCCACCATCAAGGGTTCCATACAGTTGCCCTCTTTGGAGGCGACTTCAGGCTGCTGGGTGTCAGGCTAAAGAAGTAGCAGCAGCACATCTCACCAATTCAGAAGAGACTTTAGCAATCTGCATTTGATCTTTACGTCCTTCCTTCTATAACATGGCGGGAAATTAAACATTTCAACACTTTAATATTTCATTAATATTTAAATATAAGCCTTGGACTTCTCAGACTACAAGGGAGTATGACATTTTACTAGTACTCAAGTGAAGTTGAAATCCACTCACAAGAAGCAACAGTCAAACATAAAGTGCCTCTGATGCAAAAGCTGCCACTCAGCCTCTCTCTGGCACAAGTTCCCTGGAGCAAATAGCTAGAGAAGTCCTTTCCCCCTTTAACAAACTGAAAATAGCAGCCAAAAAGCGCTATTTATTCCTTTTAAAGAAAGAGGCCAAAAACAATGGAAATGGTGAAAGTTACTGTCGCTCTACTCATCATTTTTACTCATTGAGCTAGTACTGTATAGCCAAGCATAATCCAGAGTCAGAAAAAATAGGAAGTATCAAAAAGGCTTGTAAAAGAAATGCTGTTTGCCACTGAGACTAAAAGGATTAAATCACTTGCAACATTTTAGAACATAGGTATAAATTTAACAAATGGTATAGCAATCAGCTGAAGTGTCCAAACTGGAAGTACTTCTAAGAGCATACATTTGAATCACAAGCTTAAACAGTAAATCTGCAACTTTGTAAAAAAAAAAATATATAAAAATTGAGTTAAAATGGATTTGCTATTTGCCTTTCTCCTGAAGAATATGTAGCTATAAGTAGGACAGTACCTGCAGTTTCAGATTTAAGTTGATACTATCTTGGAGCTAAACTAGAACCCAAATTGGATCACTGGAGAAATTACAGCAGTATACAGAACTTAAAACTGCATGTATCCCTCACAGTGAAGAAAATGTTGCATCTTTTCTGAATTACTACACCAGTATCTATTTGCTGATCTATCCTGATTAAACAACCAGGATACCAAGCAGTTCTATCAAAACATTTATAGGCAATAAACATTTGTAGCAACAGTATAAAAGGTGCCAGTGAACTCATGGCATATCTATTAAGGAAAGCGTTGTTAAAGAACTACAGTCAGTCTCAATCAGTATGCCTGAAGAGTTCTGCAAGCCACTCTTTCGAAGGACTGCTAGCTTATCTGAAGCCAGTTTTCTCATAGTTGGCATAATTAACAAACTACTTCAGTGCAAGTTTTACCCTTCAAGTTTGATGGGGGGGGGGAGGGGGGAGGTAGCAAAGAGATCTTCCCTCGTTTCTCCTCAACAATCGTCCCAAGTCCATAATCCTTAAAAATTAATTCTGCTTTAGCATACACACATTGTTGCCATGAGTTTATTCTTCCAGTTCTCCAGTTTAACTGGAAGTTCCATGATTTCAAGAGCAAAATTCCAAGGTCTGGAAAAACTACAGCTACGAAAGAAGAAACTTTTGAAATCTCCTGCAGTCACTAGGTAATTTAAATACCAAGTTTCTCAGACAAAAATACAATTTTGACAGCTCAAATATTTAGTAAAATCCATGTATGGATATGCATAAAAAAATATCAAGTTGTTACATATGCTTATCGTCTCTCATCATTTATCTGCTTAAAATATGCAAGTAAATAAACTTACAAACTTGTCTCAAACATCCCCTATCTCATTCTTTTCAGATAGTTGTAAAAATCCTGAGATAACTCAAAGAGTTTCTCTTACCAACAAGCAGTCCAGCAGCTGTCCTCTGCACTTGCTTTTGTTATCATGAGGTAGTGAGGCAGTTCTTAATAACTGAGACCCTATCTACAAGGGAAGTCCTGACAAATGAACTATTTTGTCTAAAATCTAAAAAAAAAGTCTCCAAGGGCTTTTCAAACTGTTATCAAAAGATTAACATATCAAAGAAAATTTGGCACTGCTTGGAATGCCCTTTTTTTTTTTTCCC